TACCCAGTTATAAATGACTCTGCTCACAAATGAATCAGAAGATTCATGTGTCATCTATAAATATTCAATATGTGCTCCTAGAGATAAGGGTTCTTTTAAAACTCAGAACCAGCAAGCCTTTATTCCACCTCCAGCCTTGCCAATGATAAGTAGAGAGAATCCATTATATAAATCTTAGGACACTTCTGGGGCAAATGGAGAAGAGGGATGTGGAAGAACAAAGGAAGGAGGGCTGACACTCAGCTGTTGGGAGCCGGGAGTCTGCACCTGGACTTGAAGAGAGGCCGCTTCTCGTTCTCGCCCTGCTGCCTGGACACTCACCACTGTCTCTGTTCCCACGCTGCTGCTGTATGAAGCCGGGAGGAAGATTTGCCCCCACTTTCCTGGGTTGGCAGAGTCTTACCCGTCCCTTCAATTGATAGCACTACAGCCAGGTTAAAAAGTCAGTTTGGCACGCATAGTTAAGTCTGCCATGCAGAGCTGAGCACAGAGGGAAGGGGTGAAGGCTGAGGGCATGGAGGCAGATGACTGGCACACCCACCCCTTGGAGCCCTAGTATCTCTCTCCTCTCTATATTTCATTCCCACACAACAGTAACAACCACCATAGGCTTCATGTAACTGACATTTGAAGACACTCTCCCTACTCCACAACATGCTGACATGTAGTTCCATCAGCTTCTGTATCTATCTCTGAACGACTGCTTCCATAGAAATGTAGGAGCCAGGCATGGTAGCATTGCCTGTAATCGCTTGGAAGAGAAAGGTGGAGGATGAGAGTTCAGTGCTAGCCTGAGCTACACTGTGAATTTGAGGTCAGCCTGAGGTACACAGTGAGACTGTCTCAGAAAAAAAAAACACTTATGCAGATGTTTTATAACCAAAAACTAAGTTATGAAGTCAGTGATCACCTAGCAGCTTATATCTGCAGTGCACATGCACACACTCATGTGTCTATAGAGCAAGAAGAAAATGTAACAAAATAGTCACAATTGCTGCAGTCATCTTTGTAAGCAGATTCTTCTTTGGGCTGCCAGCTCACAAAAATGGCACGGAGATTTATTACTAATCATGAAAGCTCGACCTTAGCCTAGGCTTGTTCCTCACTAGCTCTTATAACTTCAATTAGTCCTATTTTTAATCTACATTCTTCCATGTGCTCATTACCTCATTTCTATTATGCCCTTCCTGGTGTTGTCATGCCTGACTGGTGACTCTGCCTTCTTCCCAGGGTCCTCTCTGCCCCCAAGCTCCTGCCTAGCTATGGACCATTTAGCTTTTTTATTAAGCTAATCACAGTGACATAACTTCACACAGTGTAAAGGACTATTCCACAGTTTTCCTCCCTTCTTGTCTAAGTAAAAAGGAATGGGTAACATAAAAAACTATAAAAAAAAAGAACATTATCAGGTAAGAATTGCATTTACAATGTCCAGCCCATTTGTATTTGGCATATCTGGAGAAAATGCTCCATTATTTATTCTATCTTGATGAGCCCAAAGCTCTGTACCTAATTTACCTTCTGTCATAACTAAGGAAAACTGCAACTATGACTACCTAGTCTTCAACTCTATCAAAGACCCCAGAAGAAATAATATTACCTGAGTAGACAGTGATTATAGTGAAAGCCATTTCCAAACCTATAGAAATGAGACACCTGGACAGTCACTCAAGGTTCTTCTGCATTGTTGGGGCATCCAACCTTAGGAGTACAAACCTGGAATATCTGGCAGACTCTTCTATGAAGCAGGAATTTTTGAAGGACTTTCCTGCTTTACTGTGGGAAAGTTAAACAGTCTTTCTCCTTTGTTCCTGTTGTCCAGTTTGTACAGTATACTGTCAGCAGTCAAGAGCAGTTTCTTGCCCAAATGGCCAGTTTTGCCACATTGAAAGCAGACTCCATATGGAGTTTCTTCAATGCCCATCATCTCTGAAGTCAATTGATGCTGCCAGGAGCAAATGCGTCTCACTGTCATGAAAAGTCCTATGTTAACAAAAAGTTTTAAATGTCATATTCTGTAGGTCTTTGAAGTGTTTGAAGACCATCTATCTATCTAAAATAGATAGTTTGATCTTGAAAACATACATGACTAAAAGGGTTTTTTGTTTTTTGTTTTTTGTTTTTGTTTTGTTTCATTTTTTTGGTTTTTTGAGACAGAGTTTCTCTGTATAGCTTTGGAGCCTGTCCTGGAAATAGCTTTTGTAGACCAGGCTGGCCTCAAACTCACATAGATCCACCTGCCTCTGCCTCCCGAGTTTTGGGACTAAAGGAGTGCACCACTACTGCCTAGCTAAAAGTTTGATTGTTATAGGTGACTAACTACTAACCTGTATTTCTTTATTATCCTAAGTAGTTTTTAATAACTTTCAAAAACTAAAAATTTACATTGCATTGTTAAATGAGCTGCATAGGTGCAATGCCTTAAATAAGAGGAGAAATGTAAGTATTGTATGTTCTAATAAAAATAACCTTAAATTTGTATCACTGTACAAAAATCCATACCAATGTAAAGTATTTGAGACTAGTGGTCGTTCAAAAGTAGACTCTACAATCCACCCTTTTATCTCATCATTTTTATACTATAGCTCCCTTTTTTCTTCAGAAAGAGATCCCTGAATCTAATGTCCTTTGTTTAGTTTTTTAACCATGACCAATAACAATTTGTAACCAACCCCCTTAAACAATGATAAACATTCATAACCCACCAAATATCCAAAAACCATACACCCCACCTCTCAGGAATATAGAAATTGTCTTTTCTAGAATGCTTCCTGTTGTTTGGGAGCATTGGTATCTTTGGGGGACCCTGAGAAAATTAGGTAATGGTCAAGTCCTGACTAGAATAGTCTGTGAGGCTGGACCATCTCAGCCAGCAGCCTTGAAGCTGTTCTGGATCTCTCAGGAAAATCTGAAGGAAGATCTTCTAGAGAGAAATTTCAACTGTGGTAAAGATGCCAAAAGAGCCAAGAAGACAAGGGGAAAGTCAGGAAAATGATGTACAAGCAAAATATGAATATCAAAGAGTGAGAGCCTGAGAAGAAACAAAAACTGTACAAAGTATTGAAGTGAAAAGGTGATCGGAGGAGTCCAAAGGCAGGCTTATCAAGTCTGAGAACTAAAAGGACTCTCCTCTTCAGAGCCAGAGGTACCTGAAGATACTGTCAAGCAAATCAATCTGTGTTCTATGGAAGCCCTGGAAGAGGAAGAGGGGCAAGCTGGAAGAGGGAGGAGGAGAGGAAAGGAGGGAGGGAGGGAGGGGAGGGAAGGAAAGAGGGAGGAGGAAAAGGAGAGGGGGAGGAACAAGGCAGGCAGGGAGGGAGAGAGAGATATTATTTGAAGAAATAATGACCCTATAATAAGTTCCCAAGCTTTATATGAATATAAGCATCCGTGAAGCCCAGTGAACTTGGTGCACACACTATAATTTGTGTCAAAGATAAAGAGAAGTTTGAAACCAGTACAAGGGAAATGACCCTTCCCATGACGGAGTCTCAGAAAGAGTATCAGATGATTCTTGACTTTGGCAGCTAGAAGGCAGAAGTCTGACATATTCAGAGTGCTAAAAGAAAAACCTGCCTACCAGGAGTCCCATGTCTCCTGCCCTTCAGGATGCTAGAGGGATGACTGAGTCCATGCTACCCTTGAGAGGACCCAGTCTCTATTCCTAGCAGCCACACCCAGGAGCTTTCAATGGCCTGCTGGACTCCAGCTACAGGGAATTCAATGCTGTGTAGCTCCCGTAGATCCTGCATTCACAGGTACACACACACATAAAAACAAGCCGTCTTTCTGTGGTAAGGGAGAAACTAAGGCATTTCAAGATAAGCAAAAGCTAAATGAACTCCTCACCTGTAGACCTCCTCTACGGGAAGTGTTAGGCGGGCGTGACTTGAGACTAGGATGAAAGACAGAACCCAAAGCCCTAAGCAGAAACAAAGATTGTATTTATGTCAATACTCAGTCAACACGGTATTACTGTAATAATACTGCAGTTCCATGTAGAACACTGTGGGCAGATCCAAAACTGCCGGATCACTTTAATAGGGACAAACACTCAAGTGTGAAGGAAGGGATGTATTGCAGCCAGTCTGTCCCCACTGGACTGCTCGAACTCCTGAAAAGGTGCCTTTGGGGCACAGTGGTGATCTCTGCTGCTGGCAGATGATGCACTGTGTGCTTTGAGGACGAGAAGTGCATAGTCTTCCTCCCTGCTGTGGAGGCCAGTTGGCCGCCTGACAATCACAGAATTAGGTCACCTTGTCCATCTGATGGCTGGGATCTCTGCAGTATGTACACCCACAGAGGACAGAAATAGCCTTCTACCCTCCATCCATCTGAAAGTCCAGAGATCAGCCCAGCCACCCGTTAGCAGTCATTTTTTTTTTAACAAGCTTTTATTATCCACCCACTGCCTGGAGAAGATCTGTACTTCTGACTCTCTCTCTCCACGCAAGCGCATGGACAATCAGATGCGTTGCTGTAAGCTTTACTGCTGTGTAGAGCTAACCATGACAGCTCATTTTTCATTGATGCTGGCATATCAATACGGAATAATTTTCGAGTACAGTGGAGGCATTTCCCCCATCTAGCAGGTGCAGGGCTTTGGTGGTGAGCTGATGGGAGACTGGACTAGGCACCACGGGAATTTCAGACATTCTGAAACCGACGTGGAAAGACAAATACTGAGAGATCTCACTCAAACTTGGAATCTGATTTGTGAAACCCAGCTGGGAATTGAGCTCTGTTGGTAAAGTGAATATACTTAGCATCACAAAGCCCAGAGTTCAATTCCCAGCAGCACACAAACTAGGTGGCAACTGATCCTAGAACTTGGGAAGTGGAGCCAAGAGGATCTGAAGTCTGAGAATACATTGTGAATTTGAGGTCAGTCTGGGAAACATGAAATCCTACTTTTATTTTTTTTTTAAAAGGAGGTAGGGAATGTTTCAGAGGGTAAAAGTTGGGGTGTGTCTGGGTACCCACCTGTAACTCTCACACTAGGGCAGGCAGGCAGATGGCCTCTAGGGGTCCCCAAACAGTGACATCCAGCTTCAGTGAGAGACCCTGTCTCAAGAGAAAAAAGTAGAAAGTGGTAAAGACCCCTGGCCTTGACCTCTGCCCCCACACGTGGATGAACCCAGTTGCATAGACATGTGCATATATACACCATATAACCCCACACACATACACATACACCCCCCACATACACATAACCACTCACACATACACCGACACACATACACATACACCCACACATACATACACATAACCACACACACATACATACACACACATACACCCACACACATACACCCACACATACGTACACATAACCACACACACATACATACACCCACACACACATACACCCACACATACATATACACCCACACATACATATACACCCACACATACATACACACATACACCACACACACACATACACCCACACACACATCACACACATACACATAACCACTCACACATACACCAACACACATACACATACACCCACACATACATACACATAACCACACACACACATACACCCCCACACACATACACCCACACATACATACACATAACCACACACACACATACACCCACACACACATACACCCACACATACATACACATAACCACACACACATACATACACCCACACACACATACACCCACACACACATACACCCACACATACATACACCCACACATACATACACACATACACCACACACACACATACACCCACACACACATACACATAACCACACACACATACACCCCCACACCCATACACATAACCACACACACATACACCCCCCACACCCATACACATACATCCACACACACACATACACCTCCCACACCCATACACATACACCCCCACACACACATACACCTCCCACACCCATACACATACACCCACACGCACATATACACCCACACACACACATATACATCCTCCCCACACACATATACATCCTCCCCACACACATACACATACACCCCCACACACATACACCCCACACAATACACCCCACACACATACACATAACCTCCCCACACACAGAATAATGAAAAGTTTATCCCATAGATGCTGAGAGCAGAATGAAATAGAGGCTGAGGAGAGCTGGGAGAGGACAATGGGAAGAGGGGATCGACAGGTATAGAGCTCTGGGTATAGAGGAGAAGTGAGTTCTCAATTATAAGTATGTGCTGGATGGTAAGGAAGGAAGGAAGAAAAAAAGAAACGAGAAGAAAAGATTTGGAATATTATATGTGTTTGAGAAAATAGATGTGTGTATGATGATCCAAACATTACATAATGTATATATTTTCAAAGCATCGCATAGTGCTCCATAAATACATTTTAAATGTGCCCATTATTTTCAAAAGCACATTTCTGTCGCTAGATGAGTCCCATCAGTCAGACATCTGGTTCGTGATGAATGACTCACATCACATGGCCATTTGTGTCTCATGTGTATCTCAGTCTTTGCCAAAAACTGGTTTTCCAAAGGAAAAGGGGCAATATTTTTCTCTTAATGGTTTCCGATATTCCTGCCTACAAAGGGTTCTATTTATAGCACAGCATTGTCATTCATCACCCAACCCAGTACATAACTGAGCGAGAATAAAAGAACAGCTTGAAAAAATGGAGAAATGCAAGCTTCACTTGAAAAACAGGAAACGCAGCAACCCTGTCTGCGTGACACATCTGTTGCTTTGGACCGTCAGCACCTGGGTGGGCTTGCTGAAGAGCCTTGTCCTGAAAACTGGTGGTCGGGAGAAATTAGTCAGCGGGTCTGAATGCCACAAGTGCTGCACTTGTGGTTCCTGGAACCCAGCGGGACCAATGAAGCTTTGTACAGGCAATGCAGCCTGGCATGCTCCACATACCTGAGCACCAAGGAGATTAGGTGTGGTTTACCTTTAGCCTGTGACACAGGCGAGCCTTACTGTGCCATCTGGGGTGTGTGTGTCTGTGTGACTGTATTACCAAGTCCAGTCAGCATGATGTTTCCTGTGGGACATGAAAATAATGAAAATTCTTATGGATTGATCATAATAGGGCTTGAAGTTCATGTGGCCCTGAGGGAAAAGGGCACAGGTATACACAAGTCCCCGTCAGATTAAAGCAAGCTATTTCTGGAAGTCCAATTAACTGATAAAGGGTCCATTTTCAGGTTCTCAGATCCACTCCAAGTGCCACAAGCTCTGTTGATTTACCATACAAAGCTTTCACATCTGCAACAACAGCTGGAGAGGGAGTCACCAGGGAGTTAAGATGCCATAATCTGCAGTCATTCTTCAAGGCCTGGCATTTGCACAAGGCAGATGAGCAGGGGGTGCTCCATGGGAATGTCATATGATTTGACAGCCTTCCTGTTCCCATGCGTCCATGCCAGCACCGCTCTCTCTGCAGTGACCTCGGGATGACAATGGAGTTTTCAGTTTACTGTTAGGGAGGTGTTCTAGAGCTCCAGCATGGCGTTTTCCATAGCAACAGTCCCCCAGTTTGGGGCTGAGTAAACAAGCGTGGGTGTTCTGTCACTTGGTTAGTGCGTCTAATTCAAGCTGTGGGGGGAATTCTAACCTTCCCCTGACCTCCACAGTCCCCATGCTGAATGGCAGCCCCCACCCCCTCCGCCGCCCCTGTGCCTTCCACATCCCCAGAGACCCACGCCAGCCAGCAGGTGTCATCTGATGGTTTGTTCAAGTCCAGCTGGACACTGTACGGTGCTGCTTGCTGTTCTGTGTGGGTGGCGCTCTGTGTGGTAGCTACAGTCATAGCAAGCACTCGCTCAAATGAGCTGCTCTGAGGCAAGAGCTTGCTTTTCTCTTTCATTTAAACCCAATTCCATCTAATTTAAATGCAAATACCGAACCAAATGAAAAGTCCCAACTCTCCCTTTTAACAACTTAAATCACTTTTTTCTTGACATACTGAGAGTCTCTCTGATTATCTAGTGTAGATTCTACATGGATAATTCCAAACCTTCTTAATTCGGTTACAGTAACTGAAATTATTTGAAAGTATTTCTAGTACACACTGTCTCTTGGGGTTTAGTTCTCTGGTTCCCTAAACTTTACCCATAGGCATTTTCCTAGGCTCCCATTCTGGGGCACACCAAGGACCCTCATTGGTACTATCAACAGACTTTCCAGTCAACTTTCCAGCCTGCCTGTCATTCCTGTAGTGGGCAGACAGCTCTGGGGAAAGTAGCCTTTGGGTCACTTCCTAAAACTCAGCCCCATAATCCCTCACATCTTATGAGTTTAGGGGCACCTCAGATAAGTTGGCCTACATTACTTGTCTACTGTTGGGAGCAGTGAAACAACTTGTTTTTCTCCTGATCTGAGTGCCTACAGCTGCGCTGAGCACGAGACCTTCAGGAGTTCCTGATGGCAGGAGAGTGGTTTCTGGTGGGTTTGACTGGGGCGTGCCTATCTCTACATAATCTGCCCCTGAACACAATAAAGGGGGCATTCTTGGGGCTTTGGTATCAGTGTTAAAAGGTCTGCATGTTGGTCTGTCTCTGCATGTGTATTCTCAACCTCCAGCCCCCTTGCCTGAAGCTCGCGAACTGGTTAATAGCACACAGAGCCCAGACACGGGGGGCACGGTGCGCAGCAGTCTACGACAACATCAGCGCTTCCATTTCTTTGGCCGGGTGTCCAGAGGTACAGCTTTACAAACTCTCCGTCTCTGCTCATTCCCAGACATTTCCTGCTTGTGGGAGGAGGGGGCTTTAAGGGGTTCACGCCCTCCTGAGGGTGGAGAACCCTTTAACATCTCTGACTTGCACTGGATGCCCCTCTGTCAGCGCGCTCTAGGTTTTGATTCTCCAGGCTGTTAAGCCATAATTCAATTCCAACAGGATCACCAAAGCCCTTGAGGCTGCCCAGCCTCCTAGATTCAGTTCTGTCTTGGGGATTTAGGTTCAGTACACTGTGACCTCCGGCAGGTTTGAAAACGAGGCCTCTCTTTCCTTTTCGCGCACTATTCATGACTCTGCTGTCTCCGTGGGAAGCTTTGCTGCATAAAGTAAAGCAAGTCCCTGCCAGAGCTTCCTCTGAGTTAGTCGGTTTGTGTCCGTGATGCCCAGATCACGGAGTGCCCTGAAAAACCAACAAGGAGACTGGATCCTGGATGTAAAAGTAAACTTTTATTCAAGTTCAAATTTGGATTCTCGTGTGTCCAACGCATTGCCAATGCATTGGCGTGATCAGAGAGTCTCAAGCTCACCTGGGGTGGGGTGTGAGGTATTTCTAAGGTTCAGGACCTCTGATTGGCTGACATTTGTCTAGGGGTGCCCTGGTGAAAGGGGATGGGTATGTGCTGGGCTAAGGGATATCAGGTGATCCCATTTACAATGGTTGGAACTTTAGGTTTCTCCTTTGGAATGTTAAGTACTCTTCCCCCCACCCTGTGATCTGTTCCTGGGTGGTCCAATCTGGAACTCAGGCCCCTATTGAGCTTGTCATGACTAGGTCCTACATTCTCCCCTTCACAAGTACCGAGCCGCTTTTATAAGGCTAAGATTTTACATTACATTTCTGTCAGGTTTAGCTTTAAAAATGATTTTGAATTGAAGCTCTTTTTATTGAAACATAAAATATTTATATGATTCAGTTTATCCAAATAGCTTAAGCTTAGCAAAGCTGGGAAAGAGAAGGAGGCTAGACGTAAATGTTTAAGCCTGAATAGACCTTGAGTGCGGAAAGACATTTCTAAGCCACTGGTTGTCAACTTTTTTAATGCTTTGACCTTTTAATATAGTTCCCCATTACAGTTTTTCCCGTTATTTTACAGCTGGAGTTTTGTTATGACTGTTAATGTAAGCATCTGACATGCAGGTGGTCCTAGGCTACCCCTGTAAAAGGTTTGTTATTAGCCCCCCAAAGGGCTGAGACACTGCTCCAAGCCCTTTGTCGGACAGCTTAGGTTGCTGTCCTGCTGCATCACGAGAAAGTAACTCCCCAGTTAACTCCAGTTAGCATTTGGTGCTTGTGGCTGTGACCCTAATTTTTAGCCTTTTCTGTTAAGTACAAATATTAACAATATAAAGCATTTTATAAGCACAAATGTCCCATAGCCTTATAAATTTAAGTATTTTAAAAACTGTTCTTAAAATTTAAATCTCACTGGAAGGTGGTGGCACAAGCCTTTAATCCCAGCACTTGGAGGCAGAAGCAGGTGAATCTCCATGGGTTTGAGGCCAGCCTGGTCTACAGAGCGAGTTCCAGGACAGGCTCCAAAGCTACACAGAGAAACCCTTTATTTTAAAAAAAATTAAATCTCTTAAATGTCTTCCTGTAGTATCAAGAACCTTTTTTTTTTTTTATCGAAGTATCTTTTTTTTTTTTCTTTTTGAGCGGCCTGGATCCCCCTTTGACCCACTCCCGGCAGTGTGTACACAGCCTGCCTTTTAGATCTCAGCCTGCTCCACTTCACTGTACCCGGTGCTTCTGGTGACTGTCACCTGGCACTGGCACTTCTAAAACTCCTAAGGTCCATCCGTGTGACTGGACTCTGTTTGGGACTCTAGTCCTGCCATACATTTGTAGACCTCAGCTGTTCCCTCTGATCCCTTCATGTCTTTCTTTATAATCATTGTCACCTGGGTGACGTTAAACTACAAAGTTCAGCTGCCAGAGCAAGGTATATTTCTGTATACAAAAGCTTTGAGGTGCAGATTTAATATTTTAATTATTTTCTATAAACCCTGTGTTTAGGACAGGACATGAATTACCATATGAAAATCTACCTTGGAGATCTGTTGTCTCCTGGTCAGGCTCATCTCACGTGGTTGTCTCTAATCCAGATGATGGAGAAATCCTGTGACAGCCATCTTTTCTTTAACTCCAGCAGAATGGCAACACCTGAGTAAAGAATGGTGGCAATCCAAACTGGAATCATGTCCTGTGTGTCCTTTACAACTACCCATGTACAGATTTTTAATCACCAATTTCCAGTGTCACTGGCTTTAATTTTTAGCTAGCTTTGTTTTAATTTTAAAAGATTTTTAACCATATCTAATCAAATAAACTTAGGAATTTTAAAGTAGAGAGTGTTCACATAAACCATCTCTAAATTGTTTGGTTGTTTTCTGTGTTGGCGCTGTGTCAGGGGCTCAGACAAACACAGCGACATAGAGAAAACTTCTAAATAAGTGTGCTGGGTTTAGCGAAGGAAGAGCCAGCTTTTTAATAAGAACAGCATAAGACAGTTTTAATGTCATCTATAGCAAAAGATATCTGAGCTCCTGCTAACCCGAATCCAGTGACCAGAGCTCAGAGACAAACTCTCAGTCATGATCATAAATGTAACCACAGCAGTAGGTGGTGACTGGCTGCTGTCAGCAGAAATATCCAAACCATTCTTGTTTCAGCTCCATGCCTGCAGCAAAACTTACAGAACACCAGAAAACACAGACAAAACTTTCCAACAAAATAAGCATACACATCCTGATTGACAGGCAGGTGGACAATACCCCTCCCACTGATCTCCTCAAAGGACATGTGCTGGAACGAAGCAGGCTTGGGGGAAATGTTGCTCACTCACTGGTTGCCTGTGTGCCTCTATCTCATGCATGGGATGTGTGCATATTTTATGACTGAAGCGGAATGTGCAGGGAGGGACGAAACTGAGATCGGAGTCATCTGCCCCTATGTCTTTAGAGCAACCTAGGCCTCATCCACCTTGGAAGCACAAGGCCACATTAACAGTCACACCTAAAATGCCACTACTTCCTGCCCACCTGTGTGCCACTTCCTGCGCACATCAGGACCTCAGCCTCTTAAATCCTACTCTCAGGTGTTTTGGGAATTCTTCAAGGAAACCTTGATGGCACGGCCATGGTCCAAGCTAAGAGCATATTGTTCCCGTGGCTACCCGTCCCCAGGGTGGACAACAAAGGATACCCAGGAGTCCGCCTCTGGCCAGAACTGTACAGTGTGCCATCTGCAACGTTTTCTATACAACTTAGTCATGCTTCATTCACGCTGGTGTTGACCATCAGCACAGCTGCTGACCCGACTACCCCAGCCTAGCCCACTGTCAGTGAAATTTCCCTATGCAGTGGCCAGTGTGGACAGGCAGAATTTGGGGGAGGGGCCAGTGGGTGGGAATTATACCTTCTGATCATTTCTGCATGGATCTCTTGTTGGCACTAGGGAAGTTTTGAAGCTGGTTAATCCCCCTGGTCAGCTCCCTGTCCTCCCCTTCTTCCTGGGGATAGTGGCTCTCATCGCTACCTTTGCTCAGTACCCAAGATCTCTGCGCCCACAGGGAGGCATCCATGACATCACTGACGAGCAAGAAGTACATCCTGAGGTTCCCGGCCCTGGAGACCCTGATGCTGGATGACAACAAACTGTCCAATCCCAGCTGCTTTGCCAGCCTGGCTGGGCTCAGGAGGTAATGTCACAGCCCCCCTCTGCACCATCCCCAACCCAGTGGGGCTCACACCCTGAGTGCTGCATGGGGCAAAATCCCAGCTCCACCAGAGGTCTCTGCTGTGTGGCCTTGGGCAAGGCAATTCTCTCTCTGAGCTTTGCCTGGCAGAGAAAGGCAGCATCAGGAAGGTTATTTCTGGTCGTGTGTCGGATTAGCCACCACCCAGGGTAGAAAACCCTGACCCTGAAAAAGAAGACAAGTCACCTACATACACACACACACACACACACACACACACACAACCACACATAGAGAACTTTATCTGCCAAGTTCTGCTTGGAATTTAGTTACTATTTACTGAGTTCTCCTGTGCCCAGCTGTTTACATACTGTCTCATTTAGTCTTCACTAGAGCTTTAAAGATTAATAAACCTCATCCCCATTATGAGGTAAGGCCATCGGGCCACAGAGAAGGTAAGTGCCCCCCATCTCAAGGTTACACAACAGGTGTCCATGTCCAAGCCTGAATCCATCTTGCTCAGTAATACCCCAGAGGTGGTATCACTGATGTGATTCTGAATTTACTTTCCTTAATTGAAGACTGAAGAAATTGAGCCTGGACCAAAACAAGATTTTCCGGATCCCGTACCTACAACAGGTTCAGCTCCGTGATGGATCATCAGGGGACTGGGTTACAGAGGGGCCGAATGCGCAGAAAGAGCTACAGCCCCAGACGTGGATATTTGAGACCCCGGATGAGCAGCCAAATTATACTGTACTGCCCATGAAGAAGGACGTTGACCGCACAGGTGAGCCATGTCCTTGGGTCCCGATGCTTGCTCCATCAGGGAATGGGCTTCTGGGAGTTGGTTCTGGGAGCCCCTGTACTGTAAATGAACGGCTTAGACTTCCTAACCATTTCTGTCAGGTGAGGTGCTCTCCAACTCCAACTAAAAGTGGATAATTCTTGTAAAAATTCTCATATATTAAGAAACTCAGGAGTCGGGAAAGCCTGAGCAGCATCCATGTCTTCAAGGGCTCTGGGCCTTTCCACCCTCCTTGGGCACTGGCTTGCTGATTCCTATGAGGTTCTCAGGATGGCTCCCCAGTTCCTAGGGTCACGTCCACATGGCATCCTCCTGAGACAGAAAGGAAAGACACATGCCCACGCTGTCTAGGGTATAGAGGGCACACGTCTGGGTTGGACATCCTGTGTTCCTCTGCATCTGCCACCTGTTTACCCATCACTCACATCACAATCTGCACACCATGATTTATTTCCTTTTTACTGATGAGATGTACCTAGTGGGAGGCTGTGAACTGCTGTGAGCACCCTCTCATCATTTGATGGGCACATGCCCCCACTTCCTTGGGGATATGCCCAGGAGAGAACTTGCCTGTTTTTTGAGAGAGGGTTTCTCTGTGTAGCTTTGGAGCTTATCCTGGAACTCGCTCTGTAGACCAGGCTGGCCTTGAACTCACAGAGATCCACAGGCCTCTGCTTCCCAAGTGCTGAGATTAAAGGTGTGCACCACCACCTGGCTGCAAATATATTTTTAACACAGTCTCCCTGCCATACCCTGCTACCCTTCCACACTGAAACAGTTCCATAAATGAAAGCACTGTAGCTTCATAACTAGGTTAGCTGCTCAGGAGTGAAGTTCTTGAGGTCCGTTGTGCCCAACAACTCCTGGCATCACTAAAGGTCCCAACGTTTCCACCTAGATTTAGGAATTGTCCATTTCCAACAGGGTCCCACTGGGATTTGTTTGGAAGTGCACTGACTATATAGGTCAGGGTGGAAATAATGTCTTCCAGAATAGTATAAGAACACAGCCTATCGGTTTTCAAGGGTGTTCTGTCTACATGGTACTTCTGTACACCCCATGCATGCAGTGCCCAAAGGGACCAGAAGAGGGCATTGGTTCTCATGGGCCTGGAGCTACACAAGATTGTGAGCTGCCATGTGGGTGCTGGGAATTGAACCCAGGTCCTTTGGAAGAGCAGCCAGTGCTCTTAATCACTGAGCCATCTCTCCAGCCTGATTCCAGGGTCTTCTAAAACTCCTCCCAGGAGTGTTCTGTTGTTGCCAAGGCTAAGACCATGCACATCTATCATTAACTATGTTCCTAGATTTTTGATCTCTTTTTATGCTATCAATGGTGTTGATTTTTATATTTCAGTCCCATCATTTATTGCTAGTACACAGACATATTAAACTCCTATCACCAACAACATTTCCAAGTTTATTTCTCTCTTCCAGCCACTTGCAGGCTCTCCTGAATTCTTTGTGTCCATGGTGGCAGCATCTATAAATGATGCCCTATATGTGTGTTCTTTTTTTTTTAATATTTATTTATTTACTATGTATACAATATTCTGTCTGTATGTCTGCAGGCCAGAAGAGGGCACCAAACATCATTACAGATGGTTGTGAGCCACCATGTGGTGGCTGGGAATTGAGCTCAGGACCTTTGGAAGAGCAGGCAATGCTCTTAACCACTGAGTCATCTCTCCAGCCCCATGTGTGTTCTTTTCTTGTCGTAATAGTTCTTAGCACCTTCTTATCACCTTATTGGCTGACCCAAACAGTATGGTGTTGAATAGAAATGATGATGTGAATTTTTCTTCCCAACCTTAGGAGAAAAGTGTTCAGTATTTCTAAAGTATATTAGCTGCATATATTTTATAGACACTTTATATCAAATTTAATGAAATCTGCATGTATTCCTAGTTTGCTGAGAGGTCTTTTTTCCCCCTGTGAATTAGTGTTGAATTTTATTTATTTATTTATTTTTATTGAAAAGATTTCCGCCTCCTCCCTGCCTCCCATTTCCCTCCCCTCCCCCCACTTCTCTCCCCCTCCCCCCACTTCTCTCCCCCTCCCCCCACTTCTCTCCCCCTTCCCCCACTTCTCTCCCCCTCCCTCTCCAGTCCAAAGAGCAGTCAGGGTTCCCTCCCCTCCATCCAGGTCTAGGAAGGTGAGCATCCAAACAGGCTAGGCTCCCACAAAGCCAGTGCCATTGTCCTTGGTTTCTCATCAGCCCTCATTGTCTGCCATGTTCAGAGAGTCCATGCTTTTTCAGTCCCAGTCCAGCTGGCCTTGGTGAGCTCCCAATAGATCAGCCCCACTGTCTCAGTGGGTGGGTGCACCCCTCGCGGTCCTGACTTCTTTGCTCATGTTCTCCCTCCTTCTGCTCCTCATTTGGACCTTGGGAGCTCAGTCCGGTGCTCCAATGTGGGTCTCTGTCTCTATCTCCATCCACTGCCAGATGAAGGTTCTATGGTGATATGCAAGATATTCATCAGTATGGCTATAGGATAGGGCCATTTCAGGTTCCCTCTCCTCAGCTGCCCAAGGAACTAACTGGGGACATCTCCCTGGACACCTGGGAGCCCCTCTAGAGTCAAGTCTCTTGCCAACCCTAAGATGGCTCCCTTAATTAGGATATATACTTCCCTGCTTCCATATCCACCCTTCCTTT